TCCCGTCCATCCTTCCCGAGGGAAATGGGCACTTTTGTTGCCACAAAACGCTCTGTTTAAAGCTAAATTAGCATGGCGGGGCCCCCGCGTGGGCTCCTTGGGGGTTCCGGTGGGTTTGGCCGGGCCCTGCACTCCCTTTCCCGGCCGCTCCCCAGGTCCCTGGGGGGGAACAAATCACCAAATCACCCCCCCCCCGGTGAGAAGCTGGGTTTTTGGCCAGACTCCGGGCTGTACCTGTTCTGCCAGGGCTGAGCAGACGCCTGTCACCCGGCTCTGCGCCTCTTTGTTTTTCTAAGTAGCTTAGGAGGAGAAAACAGGAGTCAAAAGGAGTGTCCCCTCGTTAAGTGCCTGCCAGTTAAACCCATAAACATCTGCTTATTATAAGGTGTAATTTCCTTGGCTACCCGTGCTTTAAGCCCAGTTTTGCCCGGGATGCTTTTTGGTAATGACCTTATGCAAATGCCTTCTGTGAATTGAATTCAAATTCTCCTTGGCTCTGGCGTTTAATTGAATTTATTTCTATTTTTTTTTCCTCTCCTTCCCCAGTACTACGAAATGTCGTACGGTTTGAATATTGAAATGCACAAACAGGTGAGTAATTTCGAGGGGGGAAGTTGTGATTGATTGATCTCCTGTTGCCCTTTTCCTCCACCTGAGGTAAAATCGGCCCTGATTGCACTAAATAGGGAATAAGTGCTGGAGGCAGGGATGTGACTCCAGGTGGGATCCCGCGGCCCGGCTGTTAAATTGGCAGCCGCAGGTTGATGGCACTCGGTGGGGTTGTTTCGTCGATATTCACGAGGAATTTCGGTTTTAGGCAGAGTGTTTGTGCAGGGAGGTGAGAACAGCCTCGCCTGCCGTGCGGGGAGGTCAATACCTGGAATAGCGCGTTCCCAAGGCTTGGAAAACACTGATAGGGGCTGCTGCGGCGGCCTGTGCTCGTGTTGTGGGTACAGCAGGGCTGTTTGTAAGGTCATCCCCTGCTCCCGGCCCTGCCCGAGCGTGAGACCGAGCCGGGAATTATCTCCAGAGCTCACCGTGTGTTGCTCAATGGCACGGACTTGTCTTTGCATCTGGGAAGTGAAGCAATGTTTGGGGCTGGTTGGGGTTTTGGTTTTGTTGGTT